CCGCATAGTGGGTTATGGCCCATTGATCTAATTCGATTCGACTCTATTCATAGGAAAAAAGAATTCTACCAAAATACTTCCCACGCAGACGAAGTCGCGGCCACAGCAAGTAATGTAATATTGTTGAATAGGCTAGTTGATAACTTTTTTATTTTATAGATAAATAGTCCATTAAAATCTGAAAAATAATGTACAAGTAACAGCACATCTGCGATTAATAGTTTTGGTAATATCGTGCTGTGTTTGTGGAATTGCTGCTAATCGGCCGAAACGCTCCATGCTAATTAAAGGCACTAAGTGACGTCGTATCGTGCTACGGTAGCGAAAAACGTTTTACGTAACAACGAGTAATTTAATGTCAAAGGAATTTAGTAAATAGTTTTTCGTATATTTTTATCCTATTATTTTCAAGTTGCCGAGATGTAATATTTTGCATATTAATGTCATAAAATTTATTTTGTTGAATATTTATAAGATAAAATGTTTCATTTATTCCGAACATATAACATAAACCTGTGTATATACTTGTAATTATTAATATTGAATTATTGCCATTTAAAGTCATATTATTACTATGAGTTATTAATTTACTAGTTTAACGTTTGTTTCTTTTTAGTAAAGTTTACAAAATAACTTAAGATATATATATACAAGTAAACTTCCATAAGTAAATTAATGTTCTAAATAAAAAATGCTTACAAAATCCGTAAAATTCTTTGTACATGGCACTCAGAGATGGGAGTCAAACCTTCCAAAACCAAACATGACTTTTCGAAATCCGGGCGACTGTTCTAACCACTGATCTACCCAAGACCTAACAGGACTGACGAATATTTCAAGCACTTGTTACTTTTTCACTACTACAGAGCGTATTTTCATCAATATTCAGGTAATCCACCCAAACAGTCAAAATAAATATTTTAAACTTTCGATAAAGATAAAAATACGATTAGATTTGATCAAAGGGATTCCCGCAATGGGGACCAAACCGGAGGCGAGTGGACCGAAAAAGAGGTCTCGACTATTTCAGTGCATCGCCTACATAACATAGAGAGGGACATCGGAGTCTTTTAGCGGGTATGCCTTTTGCTTTCTGATCTGCTATCGCAGGGGAGAGTCCCGCATATTCTCGCTAACTAACCTACTAGGTAGGCGTGGTATACGGAATGCTTGTGAAAAAAATTCTATACCGATAAGTAAACCTTTGTAATTATATAGTTATTGCAGTCTGTTAGTACCTTTAGCCCATAAACAGCATGGTAATATAAATACTTTTATTACATCATTGTCACATTACGTAATCACCCCATAGAATATTATACGTGGCGTGAAAACATGCACAATAGTCAAACCGGACGTGAAGACGGATTCATCGCTGCACGTTGATCGTCACAATTATTTGCTCTATGGACCTCGCTGCTTTAAGTATGTACTTACATATTGTGCTTAAATAAATAAATGAAGAGACAGTGGCAGATAATATTTTTCCAATTCATCCCGACTGAAAGTTGTTTTCTACATGATTCTAATCAATGAGTTTAATAACTAGAGAAGCAATTTCATACAACAGACGCGCCAAAAAGCGTAGCACTTTTCCGAAATCAGGACGTAGCTTTGCAAATAATATTTATACTATATAATAAAAATAGGTTTATTATATATTAAAAAATATTCGACTTTTTGTTCCTCCCATACCAAACACCAATTTCATATGTAAGGACCTAATATAAGATTATAATATATTTATGTTTAAATTATAACATTAGTGAAATTGAAAATTTATAATTGTGTATTATTTATTTATTTATAAATTACACTAATAAAAACTAGTGCTCTCTCTTTCTATTATTGTTGTGCCCGAGAGGGCCCATAGTGAGACTAACTAAACTATGTAACATTATTTTAAATTACCTATGGAAACAATAAATTTATTGAGTATTGAAATTAATATAGGTAGGTATCTATCTACGCATGCAGAGGAAGAATGAAATGAAGCAATACTCTATAGATGCTGGGTGTTCATTTTAATCAAAGCCTAAGTTGTGTTGTTTTCTTCATTAGAATCAATGATATTAATATCTCTAGATGCGCAATACATAGCCAAAAAGTGAAGCTACTAAAATTAAGACGTTTGTCTTAGTTTTATCGTTTTTCATTTCAATACTCATTCAACTTCCGCCGAGAAAGTACAAAAAAATGCTCTGCAAAAACGAAGAAAAACAGTGGATAAAATACGATTCTCTTTCACAAATACACATAATACGAAAGAATATTAAGTTTCACACTTAAGTCATTAACATTTTTGGCAATAAAAACAAAATTAAAGCTAGTTTATAAAATAAAAATATTTAATTTTCACAAATAAAATTTTGACATTTTATTGTCAGTGTTGCCATTGCTATTCACTTTCAATTTTCCACTCTAAACTCCTCCGTCACGTCGTGGGCCGTGTCGTCCATATGCGGAGGGCTGTCGGACACCGTGTATTCTGCGGAGAGGCCCTTCAAGGGCGTGGAGGTGTTGTCCCCCCTAGGGATTTTTAATTTACACCCCGGACATAACCATAAACTTTTGACAGTTGCCGTCTCGGGAATTGCTGCACATGGCTTATGGAATGAGCAGCTACATTTGCCACAGCGCACACTCTCTGCCGCCGAAAGAAATTTGCCGCAGCTACTACACTTAACCATATTGTAAGCTCCAATGGCACAAAGCGCCACCTGTGTTTTATTTGCCGTTCAGGAATTTATAGATGGCAGTGTTGTCGCACATAATTAAATATTATCTTGCATGGGTTGTGACACCATAGGAACACAGGTAAATAAATTTCCAAATATAGGTCCGCACTAGTATCACCAAAGTCACAAAGTTTTGATGTTTCTGTATTATATGGAGAACAGTTGTATATATTCCATGAAAAGGGTAGTTTAAACCACTGACTGACGACGAGCAACTAAGTTTTTGTAAATTTATTATGTTTTCACTCAAGTTACACTTTGTTAACACTATCACTGTAAGTTTATAACTGTATAAAGCGAATTATGATTAAACACTGATGCAATACTTATTAGTTTAATTTTTGAAAATATTATACTCCGTGTTACGTACAACCGACCCGAGATCCATTAAAGAGGGTTCCGTAAAAATATTATATAAAAAACCAGTCACTTTTTTATATTCTTTATTATATATCCTTATTTCTTTTTAACTTGTTAGTTAGTATTTGTCATAATAAACAATTAAAATATGTTTCGAGCTTCGATCAACAATTAAACTTTATATGTTTAATACCACGCGGGTGAAGCTAGTAGTAATTTATAAATTATTTTACTCAGACAAATAGCGGTGAATATTCTGAAGGCTTTGAGTATACACATCCACATACACACCCTTTTATTTAAATAAGACTATATCTTTTGGACGTGATTACAAATATATAGTGTCAGATTATTCGTGGAATATAAACAATAAAACGATGTTACTTGCCTTTTATTGTTCTAGATCAGAGGCTCCCAAACTTATTTTGTCTAATGCCCACTTTGAGAATAAACTATTTTTTGCGCCCCCATTTTTCACCGACCTAAAAACCACTACAACTTCAAATTAAATTAATTCATTATTGTAAGCTATATTAGCGAAGGTTAAACATTAATTTGAAACGAGACTTTTACTATAATTCCCAAGAGTTGACTTGAAACCTGAGTGCAGTATGTAATACACAATGGTGCTCAGGTCTCAAGTTAACTCTTACGGGCCAATGAATATGATTAATAAAACGCAACTTTATGGGATTCAAACACAATATCTTTTATTCAAAATAAAACAAACATAATTGATTCTTAAAAAGAATGTGAAGGATGAATCAGATGCTGTTTAATAAGGCTCTTGATATCAGGTTTCAATTTACCAAAGAACAGTCGCAAATCACCACGTTCGGTAACATGCAAACGATTTCTCTTTTTAGTAACCAGTGTTGCCACAGCACTAAATCCACGTTCACACAAATATGACGATGAGAATGCTATTAACAATCATTGAACGATTGACCACACTCCAGAGTACACTTGCGGGACCGGTTTTTGTAGCCAAAATTCTTGGTAACAGTTTTTGAAGTTAATTTTTATATCCTCATTTGTTGTCAATTCTATAAGTTCTTTTTCCAGCTGAGTTGAACACCCAGTCTGGTATTTCGTATGAAGCCAATATGGAGGTTTTCCAAATGTTGGCGGTAGGCAAATAAATCGTCGTCACTGCAGGATTTTGATAAATTCAGAAAATTGTAAAACTCACATCTGCCCATATGCTCTTTGTGTAAAAGCAGTTTGGCTGCGAAAGCAGCAACGACGTTTTTTGTTTTAATTAAATTTTATGCAGGTCTGTCATGTAAGCTATATCATTATTTGATGTAATGAACTTTTTGTACAATTGTGTATCTTCAGTTTTCAAGAACTCTATCACAATATGAAGAATTCTTATTTTCTCATCTTTAATAAACCTCACGTTAGACAACAACAATGTTTCATTAGTTGGTGAAGTGGACTCTATGAACTGATTGAGAACTAACTTATTCTCAGGTAATCGCATAATGATCCTTAAATGTTTTCAGCCATTTCTTCAATTCGTGTTTGCGTAGAATTATTACTCAAAGGAATTTCTCGGATAATCTCTGCGGCCGGTTTATGAAGCACAGTAGTCATTACTTCCTTTATTGCTGGCAAAATTAACTCTTCTCCGTTGTTTGCCTAGTGTAAATATTTTTTGCTGAAGAGACGTCACGGATGTGGGAAGTATATATTCGAGCGGTCCGCCAACGGACTGATGCGCCAATACGATCCAACATGCACGAGCTACGTCTGTACTGGTGAATAGTCAAAAAAACAGTTGGGGTGGAAAACGGACGATAGCTTAAAGCCGGTATTACGTTCTCTACCTTGACTTCCTTGTTTTTTTTTTTTTACTAGCAACATTTGAAAATAGTTTAATTTTTTTCCACTAGCAACATCAACACAAAATGTCCGACGCTGATCTTAGTAATGACGTCGATGCGCCTTGTCCAAAGAAATTAAAAGTTTCGCAAGATAAAGAGAATGGTGTGAACGACAATCAGTTACAACTCAAAGACTTTATACCTGAGAAAACATTAAACAATAACACAAGTAGGAAAACAGTTTGCATTCAGGGCAAATTTAAGGATAAAAGTGGCGTGGCTTTAATTCTTTTAGAGAAAAATGCTTTTAAAGAGGAACATTTAAACAATGGTAGTGGTTATTTTACTGAACATACGGAGCTTTTGACTTACTTCCAGAACGATATTTACGGAAATTATGAGTGCTTTCCTCAATCGTCATTGAACGGTGAGTTTGCCTACATTCAACGACTTTCGAATCTCAAGGATGTCATTGTTGAATTTTAATATGATTAGTCATCAAAGTGCATGTTAATCCGCTTTTGCGAAGCGAACTATGCTTAATTTGGCTTTCTGAATATGAGTTCATAGTATTATCGCCTAAAAGTATTCTTAAGAATAATATTTATAGGTTGAAGTCATTTTACAATCACACCATATGCTTAGATTGCCTTTTCTTTATATATAAAGGTAATTAATGAACAATAACTTGACTTCACATCTCCATAAATGATACTTATAGATAAAGACAGTCTTATCTACTTACCTACTCAACAAAATAGTTAAAGAAAATTTCATTTTCAATTAGTGTATGAATAAACAAGCTAAACACTGATAAATATATATTTTACTATGGCTCTTACTAAAGAGCCACTACTTAAAAGAGTTATAAATAATTTTAATTGAAATTTGACTTCTAAAACTACAAGTTTTGATCTTGTAAATTGTAGATACGTAATACATCATTCATAATATGTACCACCAAGGACTGGAAATTGCTAGCATCTGTATTTCCGTCTGATTATAATGTGAATATCTTCAAATCAAGAGTGAATAGGCAGTTACTAGGTTACCTATACCACTATACCAACCAAGGCTTCATCACCACTTATCATCAGGTTGGATTGTAGTCAAGCGTTAAACTATAAAGTATATAAAAAAAGAAAGAACCTTGCATAGAAGAGTCCAACTTGCACTATGCTGATTTTTTCTTTTATTTAGGTTAGTAAGATTAATATTCCTTTTTTTTGTTGTTTAGGTGTAAAAACAACTATAATATATCCAGCTACAGAGAAGCATATTGCAAAATTTTCAGCACAGAATATCCACTTGATTGCTGAGACACCAGAGTTATATGAAAAATTAACCTTACCACACATCGAGAAAGAGCAATTCAATTTACAGGTACTTAAAAAATGTTATAAGTTGAATAAGGCCAGCGCAGTATCAATATCTACTAACTGACTTTTTTTAATATCATTTATTCTGACAACAATTTAAATCTATTTTTTTTTCAACTGGTACAATAATCTTGGCTACACTGTTTAATCACATCCTCCCTATAATTGGGATATTACTGTAACTATATAATACTAATGAAACCTGTGGCTGGGGGGCTTTATTCTACTAATGTTAAGTTCTATTTACACAGTTCTTGTCCATTATATTGTAAAATTTTAAAAATTGTCTTCGTAAACTCATGAAGACTATAACACTAATAATATTTGGTGTTAGTTGTATAAGACAAAAATGCAATAATTGAAATGCCATGGAAGTTAAAACACCACGTTATTTTGTTAACGTAGTAGGCCCAGGAATAAAAATTCTGCATAATAAATGAAAAAAAAAAATACTATAAGTATTGAAGATAATATGATCAGATTTTTATTTTTAATATGTAATTTATTTTTTAGTGGGTATATAATATTTTGGAAGGCAAGAGTGAGCAAGACAGAGTTGTTTATGATAACAAGTGTGAGAAGGAAGGATTTGTGCTAGTGCCTGATCTGAAGTGGGATGGTTTGACTAAAGAGACATTATATTTACTAGCAATTATACGACAGAGAGGCATAAAGTCTTTGCGAGACTTGGATGCAAGCCACCTACCGTTGCTGAAGAGAGTCCGTGACGAGGGAAAGGTATTTATAGTTATTTAATTATAAATGTTTAGTTTACTACTGGTCTGAATATAATTCCTTCAAAGATAAGGCTTTCAAATAAATTAAAAAAAATTGCTGATTACCTAAATTTAATTTGAATTTACCTATAATTTATATTACGAATCTAATGATAATAATGACATGTCTCATTTTCAGAAAATCATTTTAGACAAATATTGTGTACCAGGCAGCCAACTGCGTATATACTTGCATTATCAGCCTTCATTCTACCATCTGCATATACATTTCACGTATCTGAGGCACGAGGCACCTGGTATCTATGCAGAGAAAGCTCATCTTCTTGACTCTGTCATCAGTAACCTCGAAATGATGGGAGATTATTATAAAAAGGCCACATTACCATTTACTGTTAGAGAAATGGATAATATCTTTAATGTTTATGAGACAAATGGACATCTGCAAAGGATTAAGCCAAATATCGAGAATATTGAGCTAATTGATAAGTAATATATTTTTATAAAACATTGTAAGGTCCAAATACTGTCTGGATTTTATTCTGATATTAATTTGATAAGTGAAAATGTTAATAAAAAGTATTTTTATGGAGTTGCGAACTAGATTGCGCAGTTGCAACGTTTATATAACGACAGGTGTTGATTTCAGCAAGAATTGTAACTTGAAAATAAGCATACAATCTAATTGCATTGTAATAAACTATTACAATGATAATGATAAATTAAAGCGAAGTGATAGTCTGTCTTCTATAGAAAGCCTTTCTGACTGTGAATCTTATTCGGAGGATGAAACTGATGTATCCACAGTGATACCAATAAATGAATACTGTGAAATCATACCAAATTCTATGTCATGTCTTAAATTTAATAAAAATACCATTTCATTCAGGATTCTGACTGCTCCCAAAAATGGTGGTAATTTTTACAAGGAATTACTGTCTTCAACTAACAATTTTCAAAATAAACCCTGCAGTGAATTGTTAATGAATGTGAAACCAAACGATGGAATAAAAATCATGTGCACAAATTGTTCCAATATAATATCAGCAGGAATAGTCAAATTCGACAGAGTTCTAGAATTGCCTTCGGAAAACCTTGATATGTCAGATTGGTTCTGTCATGGGCATGGACATGGCCACGGCGAGAACCATGGACATGGAAATAATGAAGCTATTGAATTGAAACCAAACAAAAATGACTTCCTCTACAGACTTACATATTTTCTTATAAACCATTGTGCTTTATCTGAAAAGAGCAACAAATTTAATTTAAAGAGAAATTCTTATCATTGCAACAGGTGCCTGGCATGGCTAGGAATCAAAAACAAAGATACAGTCAAGATGTTCAATTCTGAAGTAAAAATTAACGATGGAGAAGCTGATATTACTGTATTTACACACAAACAGCCATCATTAGATCTGAAAATTGATGATTTCATTCATACAATAGAAAAAATGGCTTATGAATTTAATCTTGGCATGCAATACTCCGTTATGTGTAAAATTGTTCTGGAATGTCCGATTTCAGCTAACAACAAACAGTATCTTTTGATTTGGATTATGGATAAGGAGCTTCAAGTTTTGCGGGATACTGGAGAACATATTGAAAATGATAAAATCAAGTTGCAGTCAAGTTTACTGACAAAAATTTTGTATAGAGTAGAGTTTACTATGAATGGAGAGGTGGAGGCGTGGTTATCAGATCCTGGCGTGGTTTCGACAGACATATCAAAGAGTATGTTCTGCCGTGGTGTGGAACATTTGCAAAAGATGACAGAAAAAGTGCCAGAATGTTTCCGCAATACTAATGGTTATTGTGTAAGTTACTTGAAAGTTTGAAAAAGAAATAAATTTGCTTATATTTATTGGGTCTTATTATTTCAAAAATCATAAAGGGTATGTTCCGATATACACTGCGACCACTGAACAGTATGACGTCAATTTAGTATACTGGAAGCCCGTTCCTTTGTAGCTAGTTATACTGGTGACTGTTTAAAACGGAACGCAGTCCAGTATACTGTTAATCCTATTTTTTGGCGCCATTTTCAAATTTGTTAATGCAAGGTGAATATAAATAAAGATTCCCTCTTTTCAAAAGAAAATATTATAAAATTGTGTATAAAAAAATTATTTATCAATTAAATCCATCTTATAATAAACGTAAGTATTTTTTTTTTGTTTATTTAGAAACTTATCATTTTCTGCTTCGACTGATCACGTGATCAAAAGCACTGCGAGCTCCTTACCTCGAAATCTCCAGTGCTCACAGTACAAATATGGCGGCAATTTATGACGTCATAAATTTCCCTAGGGTACTGTAGCAGTGTACTAGCAGTCCATAACGGAACGGATTTTTCAGCAGTAAGACCACTGCGCAGTGCTCGCAGTGTATATCGGAACATACCCTAAGGCAGCAGTTCTTATTAACCTTCTTGGCAACACTGTAAATTAATTCAAATCAGCGTTAATAAAATTAATAAAATACATAGTAGAATAAACCATTTTTTTTTCAAAAATAAATTTTATTACATTCCTCAGAGTCAGGAAAAATAACTATAGCATAAAAACACTTGGCAAGATTAAACAAATAACCACAATAACATCCATAAATGTACAGCATAGACAGAAAAGGAATGGTATAATTAATAATACAATCTTATTTAAATGGAAGATGAATATGGAAAAAAATTTATTCCACATATAATAGTAGTTTTGTGAGTATGAATATTAAGCCAATAACATCTGCTACTGTTACTAGTTATCTAGTTGAGAAAAATAATTACTTGAGATGATAATTTGAATGAAACAAGGACTGTTATAGCTAATAATAATAGTATTCTTACTATTAACAGTTCTCACCAGTAGCATAACTACCATCTGAGGCTCATGGCAAATGCATCGGATAATCAATTTTTTTAACTAATTGCACAATAATAAATGTCAGGAGTAAATAGTCTCGTCCGACCGGGGGCCCCTTCAAATTGAGGGAGGCATTTTGCCGACTTGCCACCCTGTAGTTAAGCCACTGGTTCTCATTTAATTCAAATTCTTGTTTATTTGTATTTTGAACAATTTTTTTGCTATTTACTTAGCTATGGATATGGGTGTTACAATTTGTATCTATACATTTACTTCTATCTATAGGATGTATGTTAATTTTTGTAATAATAATGTAAAAATAAAAATGCTTTATATAAATTAGTTACATATTTTATTAACTTATAATAATAATGAACATAATTATAACATTAAAATGTATAATATCAACCTGGAATGATATCTGTAATAAGTCAATTAAATTTTAAAGATTTTTTTATTTTTATTTTACAGACAATCTTGTTTCTTGTTATAGGCTCATCAACAAATGTGGTTATAAATGCAGAATTTGGTTTTTTCAACTTTCTTATTCCTTAAATTGCATTTGATACTAACCTTTCCACTAATCAACCTTAACTTAAAAGAGTTTGATTTGTTTGAATTGTAACAAACTTTAATTCATTTGGTTTTTTGTTTGAAATTTCAAACATTTTTACATTAGTTAATAAGTTCCAAATTTGATGTATTCCTTAGCCTAGCTAATCCATCTAGGACAATAGCAGTATTGAAATACCATAACAGTCCAAATATTATGGCATATAACAAATCTGATTATAACGTTAAGGATTTTAAATTTTAGCATATTATAGAAAATAAAGATAACAAAATAATAGCATTCAAAATTCATGGGGCATCACAACTCCCAACAATGCTGTACATATATCACTAAATCACACAATAAATTACTGTATCGGTATGACATTGTCATAAAGGCATCGCTTAAGTATGGATAGGTTTTAAATCTTAAGAGTGCATTTTTATTGCATTTCCAATAGGCTCATTCTCGATCTGGACCCGGCTCAGAGGATATGAAATAATCTGAACCTAACTAGCACCCTGTTCTGAAATTAAAATTTGTTACCAACTTACACAAGATTGTAGAATCAAGTGGCGTTTCTATTCTAGTGTGTAATTATTTTTTTGTTGGAACTGAAATTTATAAAAGGATACGTATCACAACTTTCTCCCAGGGTTCCACAATGTAGAGTTCTGTTGCTAATAGATATCTGAGGTACCAGTAACTGATGAACTCTTTTGCTTTCCTCACAACGTTAACCATTTTCAGATTATAAATAAAGTTATTTATTAGTCGTATGAACAATATATATATCCTTTTTTATAAATTAATCACACTTTAATTTGAATTCCTAATAACACAATTACATAAATCAAAAGGGAGAAAACTTTTAATACTTTTATTGAATCAATGAGAACTGAACTCTATGAAGCAAAGAGAATATAGAGAAATTGAGACTAGTCATATCGGTCATATCATAGGTCATAGAGTAATATCAGTTAACTTCATAGAGTAAGGTAGAGTGGAAATATTTTCTATGGTTATATAAATATCATGCAATCTGAAGTTAACATCAAAAACATCATGTTGTCTTTTTTTAACTAATAAGAAGTTTCTTTAATAAACAAAGATAACACTAGTGTGACAGTTCAAAATTTTTTACGTGACGTCATGAGATAAAGCTATCGTACCACCTGTCAGCCATTTGCAAATTTGCTTTGCGTATTCTCGGAAGTAGTTCAGCTGTCAGTGTTATAAGTTTTGTGGTTATTTTCATTTATAACTTTAATTTATATAACTTTCATGGCAGAAAATTGTAAATTATTTATGCAAAACAATGCCTAGGTGCTGTATAATTGGTTGTGCGTCATCAATATCCCGCAAACCGAGCAATATTACGTTTCACCGGTAAGTCAAACACTTTCTTGGAATAACAGTATTTAAAACGTAAGTAAGTTATTCTGAAAATGATTGCGTGTATAAATCGATACATATCGTATTTTGGGGTGTTCTATTTATGCTATATTGCTCTTTTCGTTTATATTTTTATAATATTTCGGTCCGTAAATAATATTGTTTACATGGCTAGTGTCGTTACTTTAACATATGGTTTATATCGATAATTTTAATATTTAAAAATATATTAATTATTTTAGATTACCAAAAGATGAAACAAAAGAGGAAAATGGCCGAGTTACATAGAAGCAGAAAATATTAAATGTAATGAAAAAGTTACTTTTATCTGCTCACTTCATTTTAGGGAAAGTTGTTTGAATCGAACTTTAAATATAATAAAATTACGAGATGATGCATTGCCAATCAAATACTCTGGTAAGAATTTTTGACAATTGCTTTTAACTTATTTAAAAAAAAAATGTCTATTTAGTTTTTTATATAGTCATTTTGTTATTCTATAAATGTACCTTATTTTTAGTCTTGCGGTCATATGATGACTATTTTAATTGAAAAAAATCAGAATGCAATATATAATAATATTAAAATATAAAATTCTAATCATAATATACTCCCAATAAAATATACAATAAAAAGTGTTAAATAATTTTAATAAAAATTAAAATATGCACACTTATCAAATTAAAGGCATAGTTAAAGATTTGCTTTGCTGTTCAATAGTATAATCTTAATACCCAAATAATTATTTTGCGGCGTGGATGTTTATTTTGCTGATGCATCATAAAATACGCTACCTTTTTGAATTTAAATTGCTGACCGTTATCTTGATTGTTCACAGAACATGAACTGCAGACTGTTTTAGTGCTGAGAAAATATTAGTATGCTTGCCTATTGATTAATCGGCTGTTTTCTTCTTGCTAACCAAATTTTTAAATAAAATGCCAATTGTTACTTCTTTAATAATGTTACTGTTATGCCAATTGTTACTTATTCATCACCAACTTTGTTTTCTTTATTTTCTCTTGTTTATTCATCAAAGTTTACAGTATTTTTATGTTCTTTTACCAATAATATAATACAAAGATTTTGTAGGTGTTTCAAGTTTTCTATGTTTACTACTAAACAAGATGTTCTGAACTAAAATTGTGACACAGTACGCACGGTATCTCACTTAATGAGGAGGAAGCGAAATTTATTCAGTCAAAACAATTTATTGAATAAATTTATAGACAAGTTGGCTTACTAATTAAAAATATATAACAGACAAAAAAAAGCATAATAATTCATTCGTCAATCGACTCATTAAAAGCTTATTATAGTTACCGTGGTAGTTATCATGGACAGTAGTCACACTTCCCGTGGATGCAAAATTAAACTTATGTTAAAAAAACTATTTAATTATAATTGCAAAATGTCAACATGACAATATATATGGAAATAATTATAAAACACGATTGATATTATTGTAAAACTTTTAAGATATATATTTTGGTATTATAGTTCTTAAAACTATGTAAAATTTGACTATATTAGAGGAAAAAAAACATATTTATCGAGGTACAATCATATTATTAAATAATATAAATGTGAAAGTTTGTGAGGATGGATGTTGGTTACTCTCATGTAAAAACTACTGAACGGATTTTGATGAAATTTGGAATACGAATAATCTTTTACCCGTGGGAAGCGCCATCATACGCTGGTAACATATGTTATATTTACTATAGTGACGCAACGGAGTCGCAAGAACAAAGAACGCAAGAAATTTTAGATGTCCAACAAAATACGAGCAAAAGATTGCTTAATGATTTATAAATAATTGATAAATTCACGCCACTTTTAAAAAAATATTATTTTCTTGATACTGGCGTGAATTTTTCAATTTAATTAATAATAATCATAAATAGGATTGGTACGTAAGTGTGAAATGAATAGAAGTGTAATAGGTAATAGTTTAGCCATGCCCCTAACAATGAAAATTATATTATATTATTTAATAAGTAGTAGTATTGTAGCAGTTTCACGAAATACTAACTTATATTTAATATGACTTCAATGTCGATACAAATATCGATATCTTGGGTCATGCCCTATGACAATCCGCCATCGAAGAATTTGCATTTGAAGTTTAGGCATATACGCTTTTTTCGTAGGTATGGCCGGTCCTCTTCTTTTATGTCTATGGTTAACTTACATATCTCATATTTTTTTTAATCTTTTCGCTCTTTCAGGGTAGGCAAAGGACTTTCATCTATACAGCCACGTCATATTTTAATTATGTCTCATAAATTTTAACCTTCATGGAAATGAACAAGACGTGGTTTCGAGCGTCATACAAGGAAATCATTATAGTTGCACTTAGATCAGTATATTCGTGCCCAAAATCAGGTTGTGACAAAAATATATAATTCACTTTGTCCCTTTGGTCATGGGTTCGAGTGCTCAGAGTGCAAAGTGGATATTTTAAGCATTCGGCACTGTTTGGGATAATATTATTATTTGGTCATACCCGCGATAACATTTATTAGATTTACATTAGTTTGAAAATTCTAACAATTAGCGCAATTTATTTAAAAATCGTGATCAGTGATTGACTAAGTAGACAGTCTGTTTTGTTATCTTTGGTTACTATGCGAAAATATACATTCGACGTTGGCAGATGAATGAAGCAGTGTTTAACATGAAATATAAAAATAAATAACAAAGGACACACTTGAGTGTCATCTGAACGATTTTTATGAACTTGCTTGTCCCAAAATAGATCCACAGCTTGGCTAGAAAGAGTATAAATTAATTAAAAGAGAAAGTTAAATATATTCCTACCAAAGTAAGGTGTCACAATGGAAATTTGAGTGTTGAGTTAATTAAATTCACCTAAATTTAGATTAAAATCGTTGAAATTAGATACACAAGACTATAAAAAGTGGTGCAAGACACGTGATCACAATGTTTTTAAACGATGTTTAGCTGAATATAACGTAGGAAAAGTGTTATCACGGTCAGATGATCTTTACAATCGAGTTGTTGAAATGACAGGTATTTATTTACTTGAGTTAAAGATAAACAAAAAGTACACATTAAGAAAACTGTAACAAACAGTTTTAATAACTGAAATGTTCTATTTAGTACTTTATATTCGATTTCAATATAGTTTGAAGGTATGTTTATATTATGAAAACAGACACTTCGTATAGGGTGACTGCATATTTTGATTGCCCCGGCAAATTCGTAAATATTTTCAATATACCTCGTGTGTTTATAAGTTTTGAGACAAACTGTTTACTGAAAAAATAAAATAAAATTTTACTGACTGTTACTTATTTTTTTTTTACCGATTTTGAAATTGGTGTGTTAATTTATTTGTATCGCAGATTCAATTGTTTATATTATCTATATATATTTTCGTCACGGAGGGAACGAAACAATTACGTGCAACTTGCATTTCGCTATTTAAGGCGGGAAAAAACCCGATGCAAATTTTTCGCGAACTGAAAAGTTTTCCTGTAAGCCGAAACTTCGTCTATTATATAATACAATGGTACAAAGAGACAAGTTCTCTGCAAGATCGCCAAAGGAGTGGTAGGCTTCGCCAAAATCCATGTCGCACTCAGAAGAAACTCGCTCTGTAGATTAATATTTCACGCGTTCCAGTGAACATAATACTGAAATTTGATCTTAAGGTACAAAACAATTTAGTGTACGCAAAAAGTAGCAAGGATGTCTCAACTTCTGCACGGAATGTCTCGCGCACTCATAATCCGGCTAGTGTGATGGTATAGTGGGGAGTTTCGTATGAAGATGTCTCTACGCTCCGTTTCTGCCAACAAGGTGCCAAGGTGAAAGCCAAGAATTATCAGAGTGACATTTTAGAGCCCGTGGTGAAACACCTGTCAGATACCTTACTTCATTATAAGAATTGGGTATTTAAGGCAAAAAGTACAAAAACTTGGCTAAGGGAGAATGTGCTGGCCGTCATCGCAGCGGATGAGTGGCCCCTTTATGGATTGAATTAAAGCTCCGGGGCCTGCCGAAAGTTTTGATGACTTTCCAAATCGTCTAAGGGTCTGTATTAAAAACAAGGGCGGTCATTTTGAATAAAATATATATTTCATTATTGATTATTATCTATTTAATGGTTACTGAAAATTTTAGAAAAATAAGTTAATAATTAAAAAAGTTACGAATCTTTTATATTTCGTCTCAAAACTTATGAACACACGAGGTATGATATTTGCTTTTTATTTTTAGGAGAGTCTAAACTAGACGACTTTACCGTTCGACAAAAAAATGTTTCTATGTTTTTTTTATAATAAAAAATCTATTTCAAATATAGTTTTTTTACATTAGTTTTTAAGTGTATTTGTTTATTTTTACCTTTTACTAATTACTAATACTAAAAACGTAATAATATTTTGGTTAATAATGCATAGTGTATCTTTTTTGATACATACCTTTTATTAATAAAAAAATATGAAAATATTCATTTTTATTTTTTTTCTATTTTTCCATGAAAGTACACTTAACCCTCAATACAATATATTTATTTCATTGAAATCAAAAAAAACATGCATTTAAGGGTTAATGATAATAAAACATAAAAAAAAACTATCATGAAAATGAAAGCCAAGGCACCAATACTGGAAACAATAAAGAAAACAAAAAAAAAAAACGGGAATGTGAAAAACAAAAACAGATAATTACTCTAATACTTTATTATTCGCTTGGTTAATAATAATTGTGACCTTAAATAATAATAATATTGGTATCAGCAACTACATTACCTCCAATACACATGCCAAACTTTATATTAACTGGTAATTCATCAAAACGCAAATCACATATTTGTACTTATTCAAAAACTATCATACAAGACGCATTAAATGGTAAAGTTATCGTACAATTTCTGTATAGTAAATGTATTTAATTTGATGCAAGTACTTGCATACGAGTGATTATATATAAACGACATCAACATAATAAATATACGCTTAAGTATATTTAAAATGTTAAAACAATATGGTAACTTATAAATCTGTGACCATATTTAAAATTAAGAGAATAATATAGAATTGTTATTTAAAAATTAAAATATGGTAACATTGCATATTTATAAAATAAGCGTGCAAAATTATCATTGTTCATACACTATCCACAGTTAAAGATAATAATTAATTAATGCTTGAATACTAAACCATATTACACATGTACATTATTCGAATCACAACTTAATGAAGTTGTTTTATCCACGCGGCGTGAGCGAACATTTGACACATCGTACATATGATCTCGAAGACGTCCGCCATTTTGTTTGATGTTATAACAAAATGGCGGATGCACTTTGAGCCTAAAGAAAATTTGCATTCACTGTATGTATTTAAGCATCATTTTGCAAGCGTTCAGTCTTAGAACAAGGCACCGAGAAATATAAAAAACATTGTATAAAAATAGCTGCCACATTATTCCTTGTAAAAATTGGCACAAAATTGTTTAAATATTGTCATTTATATATTTCATTTTTACTGGTATTCTTCAATAATACATTGTATAACCTCCAAATAATTAATTTTAGAAAAATATTTTTTCTATAAAATATATTTTCTTTTATAAATTTCCATAAAAAATAGGAAAATGTTCTTTTGTAAATTATAAAATACAAGTCGTACTTTCTTCCGTCATGTAACGTCCAAATAGTTCCAGTTGTACCATTTTGTACATAAAGTTTGTCTTAAGGGCCGTCCATTAATCATGAGATGTTTTTTCAGCATTTTTTAACCCCCCTTGGTGATACATGGTGAGGTTTCACCCCCTTCTCCCAAGTCGCGTGTATTTTCCTCAATCTTCAACAAATATTAATTTTTGACACCACTTTTCAGTTCAGTAATCGCGCGTTTGAGGAAAAATAAATACACGTGATATATTACTACACCCTCCCTCCCCCTTGTGATTTTTGAGGAACCTCCCCTCTTTTCGAGCCTCACGTGATTAATGGACGGTTCCTAAAGGCGGAATTAGAATTTAAACTGCGGGTCAAACGCAAGCTATAACCTCTCAACTAGGATCCAGAAGGGGAGGAAGATTTGAAGGCTGAAACCATTGGCTCTTAGCTTTAAAGGGTATCAACTTTCCCAAAGAAACATTGTATTTCACAATTCTGAAATTTCTGTTCGGTATATTTGATAATTGATTTTATTATGTTAAACAGGAACTTGAACCAGAATTAGGTTTAAAACGAAGTTCAGTCACTGTTAAAAAAGTCAAATTCTGTCTTTTGCAATGACTTCAGATATATTTTAACTCATCGGTAACCTAGTGATGTTTTGAGACTTGTCTCTAAGCAACTATAATGAGTCCACTGTGATAAGACTTTTTTGAATTGAAACAAATTTTCGTACTTATCGGTAATCTAGTTGTCTTTTCAGGCCCGCCTTTTTAACTTTCTATAACCACTTCTTATTTATCTGCCGATCATTAAATGACATGTTTTGAGACTTTTCGGTAACCACCGGGTAATTAAAATATTTTTGAGACTCGCCCTATAATTACGAGTAGTTTAAGTGAAGTCACTCTAAATATTCTGTGTATCCTTGTGCTCCGGTGAATATAACATCGATCCATATCCTAGCGGCTTCACCAGAGGGCGCCATCAGATAATATCGACGCTGGCGAGTCTTCACTATGAATGTCGTTGAAGGATTTGGTGATTTAGACGTGTTCCCATGGTCGAGGTACACTTCCTCTATTACCTGCAATACATCATGATATTGAAATAAATATTCACAAAGATATTAATCGATTAAATATTTTCATAAGTTTCATGAAGTAAATAATTTTAGTTCTAAATTAATATCAGACAACATCACATATACCGGGTTTTTGAACTGAGAATTTAAAGTTAAGCACGTCGCAAACAGTACTTATGCCATTTCAAACGTCACTTAAAATTGATTTTTTCTGATTTTACCTTGTGAAACGTAAAAAAAACTTGTTATTAAGAATAATGAGTTGGGATTAAAAAAAAATCTCAATACAGAAACCAGTCAATAGATTGCTCAGATCCGAGACAATATAGAGAAAACCAATTTTTGTGGGATAAGTATTTATGTTTTATAAGGTCAGGTTGTCATATACATGCAGCACTCAGTTTGTTAAACATTGAAGTCACAAGTACATATACTGTTATATTTTTAATTATTTGTACTGCAAAAATACGAATATAATCGTTCTATTATAACGTTACGTTAGACTTTAAATGTTCACTTCACAAAATAATTGACATTATAACTGCAATCCCTATTATTATATTAATAATATAAATGCGAAAGCAACGCATTTGTGTGTGCGTGTGTGCGTGTGTGTGCATGCGTGCGTGTGTGCGCGTGTGTGTGTGTGTGTGTGTGTGTGTGTGTGTGTGTGTGTGTGTGTGTGTGTGTGTGTGTGTGTGTGTGTGCGCGTGTATGTGTGCGTGTGTGCGTCTGTGTATGCGTATGCTGGGTGGGTGGGTGTGTGTACATGTACGTGTAATACATGCTTATTATTACGTAGATCCACCTACTTGGAAGTAAGCACCGCCCCTGGGCTTCTTCTCGCCCTTGTCCCAGTAGTAAACGAACGTTTTCGTTTCTCTATCAAAAACGAACCATCTGAAAACAATAAATTTTATTATTATTGAACAGTTATCTGTGTTAGAATATTTATATACATTTTCACAGATGGTGTATTTCTGTTGGCGCTATAACAAGAATACTAAAAAAACAAACAAATTAAATATGATTGGGGCTCCCATATAACAAACATGTTTCTTTTTTGCGTTTCTCGTAGAAAATGAATTCCGTCCTTCATACGCGACTCCGATACACACTTGGCCGGTTGTTATTTCAATGCTCCTATGACCCATATTAACTGAATAGTCTAAATAAAAAGTTTGTTATTAATAATATGTTATTTATTATATATTTCAATACCTTTTGGACCATGAGTGGAACTTTGCGCCTAATTTGAGAAGGTAGCCGCGACACGACGTCGAATTTACACTCACGTAGGGGCACAACTCAATCTGATGACCTGTGGACACCATTATAAATGATATCAGAGAATATAATATTCACTACAGTGTACACTCTATAAAAACTAATTAAGTATCGTAATAAAACGTTGGTTAACAAAAGGTTAAGATTAAAATCAGCAATGATTAGACATTCATATTATAATTATAAGGAAAAAAACTACGATGTTTGACAGTTTCCATGTGTATTTAGTTGCGGGCGGTGCACGAGGTGATCTTATCAAAATATTCAACTGTTTCAAAACGCCTAATTTCCGCAACTTCCAGTACCTGAAATGTCTAATTCCCGAATATTCAAGTTCAGTCCAGTCCAATTTCACAGAACTTGTCAGAATTTGCCTGGAAACAAAAGAAAAATAAGAGAAATTGAATAAGAAAGAGAAGTGGACCTAGTCGAGTTACCTGCAGACTCGACGTGTCGCCGCAGATCGAAGTCGTCCCGGTCCACGGGCAGGTATCTAGTGAGCGGCCGCTGAGCGTCCACGCACGGCGCCACACCACGCCTGCTGCGACGAGGCGCGTTCGCCAATGACACTGTCAAAATGATTTTCTTTTACCAAATGCGGGTATAAACAGTAAATAAAAATAAATACATGTTATTTTTTAATGTTTAGTATCTAATATACTATTACCCATAATCACACTTTTAAGCTTATTATATTCATTATATTGCACGAGGAGGTAGGATTGCAGTATTGGGCTTCTTTCTTTTCTTCTCAATTTCTTCAGACGCCATTGATGGTCTACCTCTGTTCTTGTTCATGGATAGCCCAATCATACATAAAGTTTTTCCTACCTCAAATTTGAAATCTTTTTGTTTTAGTAGAACTCGTGTATTATTCTGTTCCCCAACTCTTTTGTACAACAACCAACTATTAATCAAAGTAATATCAAGAAGATGATAAAATAGTCTCAAGTACCACTTTCGAGTCCTTATTTTTATTTTATATTTCCCTAGGAATGAATCTAGAAGATCGACACCGCCCATATGCTGGTTATATATTTTGATTATTTTGGGGCAATCTACTTGGATATATTTTTTCTCTTTCTTGCAATATCTTCTTACAGATTCTTTTGGCTCTTTGCCCACAAAAGACGACGATAAAATGACCACCTTATTATCGTACCACATAACGGTTACAATATCTGTGTTATCACAGTTTGCCACCCATTCCTCTTAAACTAATTATGAAAACACAAATATTTTATATTTGTTGTCACGTGACAAAAACGCGTGACGTCACGCCCCTCTTACTCGTATCAGAACTTGGAGAATGCAACCTTATGCATACATAGAGCCATATGCGTTTCAGATAGCCGTAACGTCATAGCGGCGCCATGACGGAAGTGGCGTTTTCGCGGGAAATTTTTTAAATTTAATTTATTTTTAGATTTTAACTTATTATATGAATGATATTTTTAAGATACCTATATTTCATGTAAATCTATAAAATAAAACTATAAGAAAAGTTGTCTACATCTCTATTATACCAATCTAGCTTTCCCCAGTGGCTTCGCTCGTGTGGTCCCTAGGGAACTGTTTACATGAATATCGATTCATATCATGACACGGATATAATTACAATGACAAATTGAATAGTAAACAATGGTTACTATGGTAAAGATTTGATTCCACATACAAACTTTCACTCCTGTTTCCATCTCTTTATTTACTGCTATTCGGGATAAAATATAGCCGCATGTTAGCTTACAAATCTTTCTTTATAATATTAGTATAGATGCCTAATGTATGTATAGTAAATAATTCTATTATTTTTAAATTGTCCGTCCAAACAGCGTTATGCAAAGATGTTTGTGAATGTGTGTTGATGTTTTCCTCCGCAAATTTTTGATTGACCGTGATTAAGCATAATTGAGCTATTGAACGATCTTTGTGGAAGTTTTTATTTATTTGACAAATACAAAACAAATCAAAAAACAAAAGCGGTTTTTTATAAAAAATATTTTTAGGTGTCCCAATGATCTGATTTAACTAATATAAATTCAGATTAACATTATAGATATGTACTAATTTTTTAGAATTACTGTAATCTGCCCCCTTATTCTGTAATTCTGATGTCAATCGAAATATCTTGTTCGCAGAGCTCTGTAGGTAAGCGATCATACGAATAAGTATTTTGACACATTGTAATGAGGATGACGACTAATTTCTATTTATTTGTCCGTCAGGTAGATTGTTGAAAAGTATTAAACACGTATTTTATAAATTGAGTTAAAATATCACGTTACGTCAGGTTTTGGTAGCTTTTCCACAAACTTGTGACGTAATGAGCCCCCTCAACTTTAATGCCTGTTATCTAAGCTATTTCTTGTAAAATTGAAGTAAAAAAATACGTATCTAATATTTTTCTAATATCTGACTGACGAACTGAAGAGAATTTATTTTTCCTTTACCCAGTCGCTATCCGTATTGTTCACTTTTTACGGCGTAACTTTAAACTGTCAATTGAGTTACCGAATAGGTCTGCTGGTCTTAGTATAAATACAAGGATGTCTTGTGTCTAGATGAATGAGGCAGAGTTGATAAACTCACATATATTGTCTCTGCTGAGGTCAGAAGCATGGCTGAGGGGTCTGCTGTCATCGCTGAGTTTGTCATCGGTGGAGTCGCCTCGTGAGTGTCGCACTTGCAACTGAGGACAAACAGAATATAAAAATTCTTCTTCTAATTTAATTTAGATATTGACTTTTAGGTATACGTTTGTGTCTGCAATATTGATAGAGTAGTCATGATATTATTTTATACAACGTATCATTCGTCTATACACCGTAAGTATCATTCGTGTGTAGGATTTTTCTCCCTTACATATTACGCGGACGTATGTACAGTAGCGCTACCATGAGTTGCTATCGTAAATTCTCATTACTTTACCGCAGTCGATAGCGAATAAACGCACTTCGAATAGTATTCGATAGAAGTTGTACCATGAGTCACATTTACATTTACTATACTCGCTAACGTTAACTCGAACATTCGAATAGTTTTTGTTACGTGACCGTGTATTGCGCCTAACTTCACTCCAAATGAAACTGTCTCGTTTTATTTATGCTGAGTAGAGTGAGAAAGGATGACTTTGGGCAAAAAAAACTGGCTATTTAGATCTTCAAATTTAAATGTAGATAAAACCCTACTAATTTTAAGCGTCATTGATCAGTCTCATAACGCGAAGTGTGACTGATTATTGAATTTATTCGGTTATTTCCGTGTTGAGACAAATCATTGAGTATTTCTGTTTCTTAACTGGCGGTTGTTTTGGTAAATTGTGTATAATACCTAAACATTAAATGCGGACTAGTGTATCACAAATACGTTATTGGTTGAGTATATGGAAAGGAATGGACTTCAATACGTTTCTATTATATTATTTAATACGTAGGATATACTTTGTACAGTAAAATGTAGTCCTCCAGTTTTTTAGATGAAATATTTGTTTAAGTGTTCAGATAAAGTTAAGGAATGCTGAGTGCTCTTTATTTGGTTAAGGTAAATTTAACGCGGGACTTTAATAATATAATACATTGTTTTTTGTTATTTATCAAACATAAAACTTTTAAAATAGACGCAGTTTATGAATTTTTTTCAATATAGTAAGAATATACAACCTAATCCAATGCTATCAGATCTAACCCGGTTACATTCATTTATTTATTTTCGTTGTTATCTGTATCACGTATCCCTTTTTAATGTTTTAACAGAAATGGTGACCTTAGTAAACCCACTGAAGGACCACACGGAAGAGTCACCAATATTAAGCCATATTCTTTGATAAAATTATTCTCACTAATATTTCTTATATCCGCTTCAAATTTTCTCTGTTCTCATCGTTTGTCTTCATATGCAGTTTATGATAACATATTCCACGCAAGATAATGCCTAGTTGACATTATTTGGGTCAATAATAACTGAAAATAATCTATTAAACAATACTCTAACAAGAGTAATAAGTTTTCACGCTACGTTTTGCAAGTGAGAGAGTTAACTACAGTCGCTACGGTATTTCTCGATGACGTTTATCAAATTTGTAACTCATGGTACCGATGTTCTATGGGATAAGCTACGAAACGTAAAAAACGTTAGTCGCTAGCGATTGGCTTTCGATAGGTAAATTTACTATAGGACTCATACTAGCAATCTTTAGTTTCACAAGTGACCGCTAGGAGCGCTGTATAGTTCTCCATACAAATCATTTACGCAGTCGCTAGCGAGTACGGTCATTGTAAACTCATGGTAACGCTACAGATATAGCTTTAGTAAAGACAGTCGAGCGCAAAAGAAAATAACTTTTGCCAGTTGCAAAGATTTGTGCGGTCCTTAGTTTCAATCAGGCTTAGTACCGCTAGAGCAAATTCTAATTGTACTTTGCAAACGCAAAGTAATATAGTCTTAAATCATTGCCTTGCAAAGCTCTATGCAATGTGTATCTTACCCAGGTACACTGCTAAAGATTGGAAATTTTGCTGGAAATATAGCCGGCATACCTCCCAAAGTAGAAAGAAGTAATTTTCTATAATTTTTTAATATTTTATTTGAATTTATATTATTATTATTTATACTAGAAACAAAAGTAGATGTTCAATAATATAAAAACAAAAATTCCTAGAAAGTTGCCAAATTTATCAATAACATTCACATTCTATTGCCAACATAATTCCCAAATAAAGAATTTTAATGGCAAAAAGCTGGAAATATTGCTAGGAATTTGGTTTTAAGAGATAAGAATGATCTCAGCTCCCATCCTATGACAGGCGTAAGGTAAACTTACTTGACAAGATATCGAGAAGTTTTCATCCTTTATTTATATATTCATCACTACATAGTATAAAACAAAGTCGCTTTCTGTATCTACATCCCTATGTATGCTTAAACTTAAAAACTACGCAACGGATTTTGATGCGGTTTTTTTTTTTTCATAGATAGGTTGATTCAAAAGGAAAGTTTTTATGTATAATACAAGACCACGCGTGCGAAGCCGCTAGCGGAAAGCTAGTACTGTAAAACGTAACGTTTTTCTACAAAGCCATTCTATTTCCTAGTTGCGTATAATAATCTAATAAAATAATAATTTACGTGCTACTTCATACTAATATTAGCTGCGTTCCCATTAAATTGTTTACAAAAGGAGTATACACATAAACAGTTAATAAAGTGTAATAACGATGATATACGGTTAAGCTTACGTTCCCACATTGTTTTCACAGAAGTTCACTGAGAAGTAAACAACCGTAAACAAGAAATTTTATGTAGTTACCGACCAACTATCAACACAACATAGGTATTGTATGATCTGAAAGAACATTGTGCTTTTAACACGTATTTTATTTAATGTTAGGTATTAACGAAGCGTTTAGAACGCATGTTGATTATATCCATGTCGAAAAACATTTTGCAACAAGAGGTATAGGCACTTTTTTGTGTCGTAAGCTCTGTCCGTTCTGCATGACGTGTCACAGGAGTGTATAGGACACTCCAACCGTTTGGAACCCACCCCCGAAGGCTAGTCATAATGCGGTCAGTATACCCACTAAACACCCTCCGATGCAAAGCCATTCTCTTTAAAGTAAGGGTATTTTGAGAAAGGTAGGATTGCATTGATCATAATTGAAAAAGCCAGACTGCGCTGCTTTAGGTAGGAAATTATGCTTTAAAATCTGGAAGTTATTTTCTTTAATAGTCAAATATAACTTTTATATAGCATTGTGTGAGGTTTTAATTTTGCAAAAATATGTTAAATGTTATAATTATATATTAATTACGCATTCCAACACCACTTGGTCCTTAGCACGTTGTGCTTTTTTCAACTTGCGTTGCTACGAGCACCGCGTTACACTATTAAAAAACAAAATCCGTATAAGCCAGACATAGGTATGAATATGTTGTTTTAAGTTTTCATGGTCAATGACCTTTTATTATTATACACTTCATACTCGTACATTATTGCGTAAAACGGCGTCAACTTTATTGTGGTAGCGTTACATACTGGGTATGTTCCGATATACACTGCGACCACTGAACAGTATGACGTCAATTTAGTATACTGGAAGCCCGTTCCTTTATAGCTAGTTATACTGGTGACTTTTTAAAACGGAACGCAGTCCAGTATACTGTTAAATCTATTTTTTGGCGCCATTTTCAAATTTGTTAATGCAAGGTGAATATAAATATAAAGATTCCCTCTTTTCAAAAGAAAATATTATAAAATTGGAAAATTGTATAAAAAAAATATTTATCCATCTTATAATAAACGTAAGTATTTTTTTTGTTTATTTAGAAGCTCGGTGGCGTAGTGGATAAGCGCCGCAGCCCACGATCGTTATCGTTAAGCAACTTTCGCAAAGGTCGGGCACGGGATGGGTGACCAAAAAAATATTATCTCGAGCTACTCCGTGCTTCGGAAGGCACGTTAAGCCGTTGGTCCCGGCTGCATTTGCAGTCGTTAATACCCTCCAATCCGCATTGGGCCAGCGTGGAGGGTCATGGCCCATCCTCCTTAACCATCCACAAGGAAGGCCTGAGCCCCTGCAGTGGGGACGTAAAAGGGCTGATGATGATGATGATGATATTTAGAAACTTATCATTTTCTGATTCTGTTTCGACTGATCACGTGATCAAAAGCACTGCGAGCACTTTACCTCGAAATCTCCAGTGCTCACAGTACAAATATGGCGGCAATTTATGACGTCATGAATTTCCCTAGGGTACTGTAGCAGTGTACTGGCAGTCCATAACGGAACGGATTTTTCAGCAGTAAGACCACTGCGCAGTGCTCGCAGTGTATATCGGAACATACCCACTATATAATACAATCACAAAGGGCGCGAAGAAATCAAATAGTTATCTCCCTATTAGAATCATACATCATACCTCTTGTTAGAACGAGATAAACATATTTGTATAGCTTTACGTGTCAACTGTTGCATCCTCATAGACCACGATATACGAAAAAATGGCCGCTGCAATGACCTTTCATTATTTTTATTAAAATAAAAAAGTGTAAGTACAGTTCTTACGCATGATATGATATCTTATTCGTTTTTCTCAGTGTCAATGTGTAACTTGTGTATTACTTAAACAGGAAAGCATTTGTTCTACAACTTTTCACAGAAAATTACCAGTGGAAATGACATTAGCCATAAAGCTCTTTGAAACGTGACTAAAGTGAAACTTAGGTGATTGCCTTGCTTTCTTGTTGTCAATGTTGTGCGCAGATAACCCATCTAAACTTTTTAATACATCATTGTTCATGTTAATTTACATTAGGAGTAAGTTACGTGACAATGGCGCTTGCAGCAGCGCTGAAATATTGGAACTCAATAAAAACAAGGTATATGGCAGCGACCTTTATCATCATCAGCCCTTTATTTCGTGCCCAATGCAGGGGCTCAGGCCTTCCTTATGGATGGTTAAGGAGCCATGGAACATGAGCCTCCATGCTGGCCTAATGCGGAATGGCAGGTATTTACGATGCAGCCGGGACCAACGGCTTAACGTGCCTTCCGAAGCACGGAGTAGCTCGAGATAATTTTTTGGTCACCCATCCCGTGACCGACCCATGCGAAAGTTGCTTAACGACAACGATCGCGTGCCGCGGTGCTACGGTAGCAATATGGTAGCAATCCGCAAATAAAAAAACTA